TTAAAATTGAAGGGTTAGCTGCTAAAAGCTTCATATAAATTAAAAAAAAAACCCATTACGCACTTATTTACCAACTAAAAAAAAAAAATTTAAAACTACTATCAACTACAAACGATTCTGGACCTGAATTCATTTAAATTGAAGCAGTAGTTGGATGAAGCTTCATACAATTTAAAAAAAATCCCATTAGGCACTTAGTTTTCAACTAAAAAAAAATTTAAAACTACAATCAACTACAAACGATTTTGGACCAGAATTCATTAAAATTTAAGCGGTAGCTGTAAAAGCTTCATATACATTTTTTAAAAACGCATCACACACTTATTTTTCAACTAAAAAAAAATTTTAAACTACAATCAACTACAAACGATTTTGGACAGAATTCATTAAAATTTAGGCGGTAGCTGTAAAAAGCTTCATATGAATTGAAAAAAAAAACGCATTACGCACTTATTTTTCAACTAAAAAAAAATTTAAAACTACAATCAACTACAAACGATTTTGGACCAGAATTCATTAAAATTTAAAAAAATTTTTAAACTACAATCAACTACAAACGATTTTGGACCAGAATTCATTAAAATTTAGGCGGTAGCTGTGAAAAGCATCATATGAATTTAAAAAAAAAACGCATTACGCACTTATTTTTCAACTAAAAAAAAAATTTAAAACTACAATCAACTACAAACGATTCTGGACCTGAATTCATTAAAATTTAAGCTGTAGTTGTAAAATGCTTCAAATGAATTTTTTAAAAAACGAATTACGCACTTATTTTCCAACTAAAAAAAAAATGTAAACTACAATCTACTACAAACGATTCTGGGCCTGAATTCAGTAAAATTAAAGCTGTAGCTGTACAAAGCTTCATATGAATCTTTTTTAAAACGCATTACGCCCTTATTTTTCAGCTACAAACAAAACGAAACTTACTACAATCCTCCAGAGAGTTAAATCTATCATATTCTAGGTATTTTATCAAAATACATCAAGGTCGGGTGCCAACTTCACGGAGCTGAGTAAATGCCGTTGATAATACAGATGTACGTATATATAAGCATATACTCACAAGTAAATAGAGGAATTGACTATATGTAAATGGTATGCAAATTTGTGGTATGTGTATACTTATACTTTCAGTGTTATGTACTCAGTAGTGTGCACATAAATTTTTATTTGCACATGCTCCACCTATGTGCATATGTGACAGTACTGTACCTATGTATATGGTTGCTGGGACACTTTGCCCTTCACTTGCTCCAACGATTCCAGGCTTGGTTGCTGATGGTGAAGTGGTGTGAAAAAATTGATGTCTCGATTGGTGTGAGTTGGGGCAACTAATCCAATCGAGCATATTGTGGGGCACAGGTGTGTCCAGTTACGGTCGCCACTAAATGTTGGTATACAACAAGTTAATTAGTGTGAATATGATTTTTACTGCTATCGTACAATAAAAAATCCTCAGCTGACTGTCGGTCTTTTATCGATACCTTTTGCGAAGTGAGTGCAAAGGCAAAAGACAAAATATATTCTCAGTAAACTTAGACCAATTTTACATATGTACATACAAAGTTTGGAGAGTAAGACTAAGGCTACCAGATTGTAAATAATACCAAGTATACAATTTAATTGTAATTCAATTGAAATTCATAATAGATAAAAGTATATATAACACCGCTAATGTTCTCCTCCAACATGTATGTACTTAACAATATCACACCAACATCAACAATATCCACCGCCAGAATCGGCAGTCCCGTTGATTCAAGAATTCACATTAACAAGTACATTGATTCTTACGTTTTACTTGTGTCTTATATATTTTTTTACAGTTTTTGTCATCTGATATTAAATAATAACCTTCTTGTTTATAGTTTTTAATTTTCTTATATTTAGGCTTAGACTTATTAACTCTGTTATTTTGGATAATATCATTTTCAAAATTAATCATAGAAACTGTATTATTTTTTTTTTCATTTATCAAATTCACGTTTTTATACCCGAGCGCACAAGGGTATATTAATTTTGTTCACATAACGGTTGTTTGTAACAGCCAAAACGAATCGAGATAGATATAGACAAATGTATACATAAATGCTCGGAATGAATAGAGAAGTCGATTAAGCTATGTCTGTCTGTCCGTCCGTCTGTCCGTGTACACGATAACTCGAGCATAAATTGAGATATCTCAACGAAATTTGGTATGTAGGTTTCCATTTATCCAAGGTTGGTATTGAAAATGAGCGAAATCGGACTGTAACCACGCCCACTTCCCATATAACGGTAATTTCCAGAAATACGAAAACTGCGATATTTTAGTAACTACTGAAGATAATTCTCTCAAAATTGATATTTACGATAATTTTCAGACGAACAATAAGAATATTATAACTTTTTGGAAAATGGGCGTAGCCACGCCCACTTATGGTTACATGTGTATATCTTGGTAACCGCTGCACCAATTTCTTCCAAACTTGGCGCCGTTGTTGCCCTTGGTACAGCATTCCAAATGGCCGAAAACTTTTAAAATCGGACAATAACCACGCCCACATCCCATATAACAGTAATTTAGAGAAATACAAAATGTTCGATAAATCAGTAAATATTGAAGCTAATTTATTCAAAATTGATTGTTGCAACAATTCTTTACCAAGAAATACGTTTATGGTAAAATTTTGGAAAATGGGCGTGGCACCGCCCACTTATGATCACATATATGTATGTATCTCGGTAACCGTTCCACCAATTTGTACCAAACTCGGTATGGTTATTGTGTGTACCACATGTTGAAAATTATTGAAATCGGACTGAAATTACGGCCGCTTTTCATATAACGGTAAATTTCAGAAAGGCTTGAAGCTGCAATATTTCGAAATTTAAGGACGCTAATTTACTCAAAATTTATACACCCCGGCTTACTATGTAGCGGTAGCTTTCGGTAAGGTGAAAAACATATTTTTAATACTTGCGCCGGGTATTTAATGTTCGGCTCCGCCCGAACTTAGACTTTTTTAGTTGTTTGTCTTATTTGTGTGCATTATTTTTGAAAGCTTTGATATATCTTCTTTTGAAACTAGATTATTTATCAGGTCGATTGGCCGATTTTTGGTAGTAGAATGTAAAGAATTATTGTAAGAAACTAATGCTTTAAACACGTATTCACGAATATTGCCTTGATTAAGTGGGTCGGCGTTAAACAATCGTATATGCTAAATTAACGTACCGTGAAGCCTTTCTACATCCGCATTGCCTGCTTTTAAATAGGGTGCAGTCGTATGCACATTTATTTCTTGCCCTTTGAGGAATTCTCTTACTGCAATGGTATCTAATTAAATAAATTAAATTTAATTCCTTAAACAGTGGAAATCTATAAATTTTATTTATAAATGTTTCAGCTCCCAAAGCTTTCGCTACTACTCTTACTTTTTGTTTCCACCTGGGGTGACATATATCGTGACTTATTAAACTAAATTCCGCCCCAGTGTCAATTATAAATTTTAATTTTTTTATGAGGTTATTTAAAATTATATAGGGTAATCGCGCTCGGCAGGGTTAGGAAAATTTACGCTTGAATTTCCAATTTCCATTGGGTCTACTTGCTGATCCATATTACGAAAATTTTGCGTATTTTGTTCATTCCATGACCTTGATTGATAAGGATTAATTTGTTGCGGAATTTTATTCTCAGATTGCCTTTTACAATTTGAACTGCAGGATCATAGGAATAATTTTGATCGAAATTACCTGGTATATTAATTTGTTGATTTCTATGTAAAAAGTGAGACCTATTGGTAAAAGTATTACCATTGTTTCTATTGTAATTTTCATACTGGGAATGATAACGTGGGTTATTCGTATTGAATCTGTTATTAAATTCATTATTATTACGAATTTTATACTTTTTATATTCATTACTAAAATTGGTCCTTATCGCGCTAAAATTTTCTTGTTTTGTGTGTCCAAATTGTGTATAGTTTTGATGTCTTGCACCTAATAAAATTTTAAATGCATCTTCTAAACTTTTGGGATCTCTAGCAAAAATCATGGTACGCGTTGGTTCTGGGAGGTGATCTCTAAAAGTTTTTAAAGAAATTCTATTTACTTCTTGAGTTGTATATGTGGTATCACCGTGAGTTAAATTTCTGTTGTGCATTTTATTTGCTAATTCATTTATTTTAAGATAATAATTTTCAATTGTACCCTCTAATCATTGCTATTTTCTTTTTCGCCGAAATTTTTATAAGAATTTCCTTCAAAATAGACCAATTATTTACATACATTACTAACCTATGAATTGCTTCTCTGGTTTTACCAACGCATTTATTTTTTATATAACCAAAAATTACGTTTCTATTATTGGCGTCAAATTTTTGAAATGATGGCAGAATATTCTCAATTTGATATATGAAATCTGGTAATTGGTTTTGATCTGTTCCATCAAAACTTTCAATATTTTTAATGCATGTCAACACTAAATTAATTCTGCTTATATCTATTACCTCCATGCTGTGTTTATATATATGTATACTAGTATGTGTGAAAAGCTTAAAAAAATTATACAAAATACCCCAAATAAATTTCACCCGTTAAAGGCTAAAAACAAAAATACATAAATGTACAAAAAGCTTTTACATATGTAAGTATGTATGTTAAAATTTCTCCCAAGTAATTTCTCCAAGCTTTACTCGCTGAAAGCAGTTGACCGCTACCCAGATATCTCTTATACCTTGTAATTGTTGTTGCTTCCTACTTTGACTTGTCCCAATTTAACGTTTATAAAATCTACGTATATTTATACCCAATGTTGTTGTTTATTAATTTTTTCCTCTGCTTTATATTTTTGCTTTTCGCTGTTGTTGCGATTTACTTCGCTGTTTGCGTGTTCTTACAGTTGTCAGTGGGTGTTGCTGTTGTTGTTATTTGTATAGTTTAAACATTTGTTGTCTCTTAACTATGTTACTATTGTAGATTTTTTTTCTCGATGTAATGCTTGCTCTTTATTGATTATGTACCGACGCTGCTGTTGCTCTTGTTGTTGTTGCTCCTGCTTAGGCAATTTCTTTTGTATTTACATAGTTATGCGCTTATGAAAAACACTTAGTTTTTGCTGTGAGAAACGATTACAGTAATTTTGTCTTTTGAAGTCTGAATATATTTTATATAGAGTAGTCTTTATCTCAGTTATTGGATTTTTCACAGCTTCTTCTCTTTTGTTCTAACGTTTATTTAACTGTTCAGATGTATTTGGAAAAAATTTTCGACCCTTATTTTCACTGCAATGTTTTCAGTTTTCTATCACTAAATTATTTAAGTAAAAGGCTGAAATTAAACTTTTTCTTTTTATCTTGAAATATGGTTTTACATCACATTTAATTAAAAGCTTTTAGTTTCGAATTTTTTTCTCGTTTTTCTCACTTTAATGCATTCAGTTTTAGATCACTCAAAAAATGCTCATATATGTATTAGTCAAGTAAAGGCCAGTTTTTAAACTCTTTTTTTATGATTTACATCACTTTAAAAGTTTATTTATTATAATTTATAATTATAATTATTATAATTTTTGTTCGTTGATGTTTGCTTATTTGATTATAAAAAGCGGGAAAATGTGATTTTGTATTTCGAAACTGTATGGTGGAAAGTGTGTTCTAATATCTATTTGATACATAAGAAATGATCACGGCTGTACTTTTTGCTGATATGTTACATACATATGTTCCATTTAGTTAAACAATATAAGAATATTGTAGTATGTACCACAAAAACGTATACTTTCTATAAAAAATCATAACTCAGAAAAAAAAATCTTCGCTATTAGAGATTTGGGTTGATTGTAGTTCACTACAATACACTTTTTGAGAAATTAAATTTAAAAAAAAATTTGCCCTTTTTGTTTATTGTTAAATAAAAAATTTTAAATAATGAAAATCAATAATTATATCATTCTTTCTTGATGTGACAAGAATTGCTAACATTTGAGTAAAAACATTGTTGGAATCTATTAAATTTTGACAAAGGTATGGGCATTTTAAAAAAA